TTCCAACTGGATCTGGACTGGTAAAAAGGAAAACCCGGAACCGGATCCGAATTTCCAACTGGATCCGGACTGGCAGGGGGAAAACCCGGAACCGGATCCGAATTTCCAACTGGATCTGGACTGGCAAAAAGGAAAACCCGGAACCGGATCCGAATTTCCAACTGGATCCGGATTCCCAAAAAGGAAAACCCGGAACCGGATCCGAAATTCCATCTGGATCCGGACTGGCAAAAAGGAAAACCCAGAACCGGATCCGAAATTCCAACTGGATCTGGACTGGCAAAAAGGAAAACCCGGAACCGGATCCTAATTTCCAACTGGATCCGGACTGGAAGGGGAAAAACTGGAACCGGATCCGAATTTCCAACTGGATCCGGACTGGCAAAAAGGAAAACCCGGAACCGGATCCGAATTTCCAACTGGATACGGACCGGACTTTTTTTCCCCAAAAAGGAAAACCCAGAAACCAACTGGATCCGGACTGATCCTAAATTTCAACTGGATCCGGACTGGCAAAAAGGAAAACCCAGAAACCGGATCGGATTTTCAACTGGAAACGGGACTGGCGGGGGAAACCCGGATCCGGATCAGATTTTCAATTGGTTCCGGATTCTCCTAGTAAAACCTGGTGCAGATCAGACATCCAATGTATCCTGACTAATAAAGGAAAACCTGAGTAGTCTCAACAGCATTTCAAACTGAATAGTAAAAATATAACTTTCCTTGGCAGATTACTATTACTACATAGGCCTATTAACTCAAAAAAAATCTTGCATTTAAAGAATAATTCATATTAATTAATAATAGCACTTTTCTGGACACTCCACTCCGCTTTACAGGTAATGGGGAATTCAACAGGTGCAGCCCCACCTGGATGATGCTCCAGTCCTCTCACACACACCAGCTCTCAGTGGGGAGGAGAGCAGAGTGATGAAGCCAGTTCAGAGAGGGGGGTTATTAGGAGGCCATGAGGGGTAAAGCCCAGGGGGGGAATTTGGTCAGGACACTGGGGTAACACCCCTACTCTTGTCGAGAGACACCCTGGGATTGTTAATGACCCCAGAGAGTCAGGACCTCGGTTTTACATCTCATCTGAAGGACGGCGCCTTTTTACAGTCTAGTGTCCCCGTCACTATACTGGGGCATGAGGACCCACACAGACCGCAGGGTGAGTGCCCCCTGCTGGCCCCACTAACACCTCTCCGATCCAGGTACTGACCAGGCTCACACCTGCTGAGCTTCAGCGGGTCGCCAGTTGTGAGTTGCAGGGTGATATGGCTGCTGACAATATTATCATTATTAATTATTAAATGAGATAATACAAAATTATTACTTTGTAAATAAAATGTTCTCCTATATTAATATCTTGCAACATATGCAATAATATTGTCCCAAGCAAAGTAGCATTGTCATTAACAACACTAGAATATCATCACACTCCTCTTTGTAGCAATGAATATGTCTAAAGGACTATCTTTTATATACTTGAAGTAGAACACCTTGTGACTGAGCATTCCTAGGTGAAAAGCCTATCATTTGAAAAGCAAAAATGACAAAGCTCCACAAACTTATTGATAGGTGGCTGCCTAATAGGTGTAAGCACTGAGCGGGACACATTTATGATAAGTAAGACTTCCACTTGCTTTTGGCCATCTGTTTTGGTTAGTCAATCGTTGAATATTTAAGCACATGTGAATTTGGAATTCCTCAGCAAAATACAGGAAACGCGTCAGTTGACAGGAAGAAGAAACGGTCATTTCCAGAAGGAGACGTTCTGCGTCGGTGTGCATCAGGAATGTAAAGAGATACAGGACTGCAAAACCAAACCAAACCCAATTCCAGGACAGCGCACAGGATGTCGCCCACGGAGTCACGCATTTATGAAGTGTCCTTTTGCTGACCATGTGTTAGCTGCAAGAGCTTGTTTAAATGCAGTATCTTTTTTTAATGCAAAAATAATTCCTCCCCGGCACTAAATGGCTTCTGTGTATTGGAGTACGGGAGCTACCCATTCGATCAAAACACAGTTCTGTCTCGGCCCATTTGCAGCGGAAAGAATTTTACAATTTTAGTAAGAATGTAAAGTGACAGTGAACGAATGAGGCTGCAGTAAGATTTCCAGATGGAAAGATGTGTCACTAATCCATTAGACAACACTGCGACTGTGAAACAACACAGGATGTGAAAATAGTGATGTTGCCGAAGGACAGTTTGGCTCATATCATGTCCATACCAAAAGCCTCCCCAGTCCAGATTCCTGGAGGTTCTTGGTTCTTACCGAGCTGAACCAGTCATTATTAGCATTAGCCACCATAGCCCAGATCTGTTTTTTCAAGCAAGCAAGTCAGATAACTCTCAGGAAGTACAGAAAGACTCTGGATCTGCACCTGCAACATTTGTAAGTGCATCTATAATAATAACAACATCACTTTATTAACCCTTTACAATTTCTTGCATCAGGAATTTGTCTTTTCGCATACCCCAGCTTGCTCTCCATGAGACACACAGACAGGGAGAGAAGCTGGGGGTTGGAGCGCAGGTTCTGCCATTTATACAGCGCCCCTGGAGCAGTTGGGGTGCAGGGCCTCGCTCAGGGGCCCAATGGAGTAGGATTCCTCTGCCGGCCGCGGGATTCGAACCGGCAACCTTCTAGCCACAGGCACAGATCCTGAGCCACAGAGCCACCACACCACCCCATCTGCCCTACACTGTCTCTTATTCACTCACTTTTCAGCTGAGCGAACTGGCAGGTGGGAAAAAAACAAATATACACCTGCAGTTTCATTCTGCAGTTTCACAGTTTTACTGAAAGGCCTTTGAGCCAGCCGTTAGCTTGAGGAGGGGGACAAGAAGGGTTTTGGGGAACTTGCCCCTGTCCTTCACTGACCTGCATCAGTTCGTTGGAGTCAACCAGATTGTGTTCCAGCATCTCCTGGGTCAGGCACCCCATCGTGCTGTAAAACTCGTCCGCACTCTGGCAACTCTCAATCCGCCTGGAAGAAAAAAGAAAGACATGGTGGACACCCTCCTCCCTCACCTGGGTCACGTACAGTAACGTATTGAAGAAAAACTGAAAACGCGCGCACACACAAACACAAACAACCATGCAGGCCTATTGTTATAGATCCTATTATCCAATCAACTGCAACCTGCTTTTCTGCTACAAATTTGGAACAAAATATTCAGAACACTGGGTGGTGCAGGGGTCAGCATTGCTGCCTCTCAGCGCTGGGGCCCTGGGTTCAATTCTGGACCTGTTGGCTGTCCGTGTGGAGTTTGCATGTTCTCCTCATGTTCACGTGGGTTTCCTCCGGGTGAAACCTATAGGATTCTTCCCACAGTCCAGAGACATGCTGGCAGGTGTGTTCTGGGAACATTGGCCCTGGTGAGTGTTTGTGTGTCTGTGTGCCCCGTGACTGACTGGTGTCCTGCCCAGGGTGTACCCTGCCTTGCTCCTAAAGCTTACCAGGATAGGCTCCACCTCCCCTGTACCTGCATTTGATAAATCAGTTAGCTAATGGATGGATGGCTACTCAAACAGCTGCGCTCAACTCATACCTGAAGGAGGTGTGAGCTCAAAGAAAACAGTTTCAAAACAAGAGAATCAACTGATAAATTCAAGCCCATCTTGGATAAATATTTACAATCAAAGGATGTCAATTAGAACAAACAATATGACTGTGCATTGCAGTGTGCGCAGCTGTGGGACAATCCATGTCTCCAAACATGACCAGTCAGAATATTTGTTTGTACCATTTCATTTCAGTAATTCTGCTATGAATTAGAAAAAACTGAAAAGTGAACTCTCTCTCGACTAAAAAATCACATCAACTTCTCACTGAGAAACAGTTAACAGACTCAGATTGTTTTAATATCCTACAAATTGTTTAAACGTTTCAGTATTATCTTTGTGTTCTATCACTTCTACGAAAACAATATTATGATTCCCTTTATAAACAAAATCACAGTCAAAGTTCCCCACACAAAAGTTTGCACACTAAGGAGACATTGTGGTTCTCAGGTCATTTATTACATATTCTGGACTAAACACCCTCCTTCTTAAATATTTATTAAAGAGCAATTTTTAGTGTGGTTACTCCTCTTTGGTTACATTTCTTACTCAATTCCCTGTTAAATCTCCTATACAGCAGAAGGAGACTGTGAGCTTCACAGTACCCAAAAGGAGGAGCTGGCACTAACTGGCTAACATCACTGTAAGAAGCCAGAGTCCTGACCGGGACACATGCAAGTGATCACATTACTCCTGTCCTGGAGTCCTTGCATTGGCTTCCTATCAATTTTCACGTCAACTTCAAAGTCCTCATGCTCAGCTATAAGGCTCTACATGGCTTGGCACCTCAGTACCTGTCTGAGCTACTATCTCCCTACTCCCCGCCTCACAACCTTCGCTCCTCTGATTCTGGTCTCCTGTCTGTCCCCCAAGCCAGCACTCTGGGTGACAGGGCCGTCTCCTGCTGCGTCCCAAAGCTCTGGAACTCTCTCACCAAGGATATCGGAGAGTCCTCTTTCCTGAGCTCCTTCAAATCCAGACTCAAAACCTTCTCCAGCAGAATTGAGTGTCTGTGTCTGCTTCTTGCAACTACTTCTATGTTTCTAATCCCTTGTGTTTCTTGGGGCTAATTTTATCATCTTCTATCTTTGTTACTGTTTTCGTTTAAATGCCCTTTTTTTAACATTTCCTGTAAAGGCGCTTTATAAAATAGTTTATTATTACTGTAGTTTGCAAGTACTCCACCAGAGGGCGCCTCTTGTCAGGAACAGACTGGTCCACACAACCTCCTCCAGTATTGGGTTAATTATGCAATAATAATACACAGCAGACAAGGGTTTCCACTGCTTATTTAGCTCAAGAGAACCCTTTCCATACCGTTTGGAAGGTGCATAAAACATTTTGTTCTCCGTAACAAATCTTATTTAACACCTAACTGACAGACAGCTTTTTAAGGGATGTTTCATCACCTTGCATTAATGTTACAGTTCCTATAAATGCAGGTTCTCCATGAGCATCCAACATTTAGGAGAGTGCACAAGGGTAAGGGACCATCACAAAAGCGCATGTCTTCATATGATTTATAAGGGATCATCTCAATAGTACCACAAAAGGCAAATGAAGCCTTTTAAGTTTTTCCATTTTCCAGAACTTTTATTATAGGAACAATTGCAGTGAAATTGTTTCTGCATGTTACCAGACCTATGGGTAGTGTACTCAAGAGAACATCTGAATCCTAATTGAAACCAGGCAAAGACACAGAACTGCCTTTTAATAATAGAGATTCACCTTGAATGCAAATCTGCCTGCTAATTTGATAAACAGCTACTAATATGTAAAATAGGCCCAGGTGGAGAGTTACAGTATATCAAAGCGAATAGTCATTTTCTGAATAAAACTCAATTAAAATTGTTCCATACGTTGTTCATTAAGCGAGCAACTGTTTAAGTTGAGATCATTAAAAGAACCGGATGCACAAAACAGCTCTGAATACTTACAAGTTTCACAGCTTCTTCCAGGATACTACGAAGGTGCTTTTGTGTATTTTATGTATTGCATTTTTCTTCATTATTAAACGAAAAAACTAAAATGAATCAATTAACAATCAATTCGTGCTCATCAAAATCAATAAACCATGTGCAGGACACCTCTAGTGACACAGCACAGGCTAGTCTATGACAGATAAACAACTTGTTTAATTATCTAATAAGGAAATACCTGTGTGAACGTTTATGTCTTAAGAACTAAAAGAAAGAGACATTTTTAACATTATTTTTTCTACCTGGGTGTGTTTAGAAAACATTGCATCATTTCACACAATTTCAAAAGCAGAAGCACATTTCCCAAATGGCTTCCTGATGTTATGTGCATTTTATGTAAAAACATTCAGTTTGAAGGGATGTGTTACTGCCTGTTGGATGATGAACTTAAAAACAGATATTATATATCCCTGGACAGATAATCATCCTACCAGTTATGCGACACATTTTTAATGACCCCATGAGTTTCTCCCACATGTTTAAAACAAACAAAAAAAAAAGACACTTTTCACAGAGATGTCCAAACATACAGGTTTCAGTTCTGAAAAGGTCTCGCCCCCGTCCTGGGCCGCCAGCTACACGACATCGGGAAGTTCGTCTCCCTGGGAGGTTCCGGAAGCCAGGTTTTCAGCGCGTTTTCCGGGCAGCCTTCAATCTAACTCCCGTTATCGGTAGGGAAGGAAACGGGGGGGGGAACTGGCTTTTCGACAGCCGGATCCAGCTCTCCTGGTCGGAGAACCCGAAGAATTCCCGAGATTCCGTCAACGGCCTTCCGGAAGGTTCTAAGGGGTTGCCATGGCGACGGGCACCGCCATAACGGGTCGCGTTAACCCTCACCACGGAGGACGGCACGAGGCTGATTAACCAACCCGCCATCACGGCTTTAAAAACCGGCACTTCTCTACGGGGAGGGGATGAACACCGCCGATATTACGACAGATCCCGCCGGTGAACACACATTCACAAATTTCAGGTGTGGGAGCAGCGATCATAGTACTGCAGAAGAAGAGCACAGGCTTGTTCTCCCCAAGCGGGAAAACAGGATAACATGCTGAAACAATCCCACAGAAGTTTTTGTAACACTTTAGTGTCCAGTAGTGTCCGTCATACAGTACAACATGTTTCGGACTTGTCCACACACACAAGAGACTGAACTCAAATACTCAAATGAATATGACCCACCAGGCATTGGGGAATTTGCCTAGAAAGACAGCCAAACTGACATTTTGCTCTGAAATGACGTGACAGCGCACTCACTGTGTAACACTCACACCGTTAACGGCTCGACGCTCTTCGATTTATGGGGAATCCGAAGAATTTACAACAACGTGCACCCTGAACAGGTGAAAAATGAGATTGTAAATTCCCCAACGCCCTCGGCGGGGACGAATCCACTTTCGTTCGCCTTCGCCCTCCTCGGCCCCCGGATTCTGTCCCCCCGACGGCGACGGGCACTTACTCTCCCAGCCTGGCCCAGATGGCCAGAGCGGCTCTCAGCAGGACCTCGGAGCCTTCGAAGAAGACGGAGTCCCAGATCTTGAGGACGGTGTGGTGAGGGAGACAGGTGGCGAACATGGTCAGGAACCACTGCATGGTGAAGACGTTCGTCAGGGGAGGCTCGTAGCTGCCTGGAGAAAGGGGGGAAGGGCAGGTCGCACTCACAGATAGGCCTGCCCTGTTGTGTCCAGGGGTAAAGGGGTGTAACATTCAGGATGGGTGTGGATGCAGGAGGGTTTCTGGTGAGGGACTTAGGAAGCACAACAAGTTCGGAGCAAAAAAGGATTTATTTTAAAGTGAATAAGTGACTGGTACGTCACCAGGACACACAAACACACAGGGAAAAGGAAATAAAATAAACAAAATGGAGCTGGCTAACAAGGTGAGGGGAAGCTGACCTGACGACCAAAACAAAACCCGAAACACGCGGTCTTCGGCGTCTAACACCCTAGCTTAACCTTCACTGGCTACCCAAAACCATACAAGACAAAAGGCACTCACCCGTCCTAAAGTAGTGTTACTTATACAACTACGTGTGCAGAATGTACCTGACAGCCTAAACTAACCCTTACACAAAAGTCCACACAAATACACAAGTGAACAACGAATACCAATGAAGAAAGATGTGAAGACGGGGTTAAATTAAATCCTTTCTTTCAGCCTGAAGATTAGACTTCTAAGCAACAAGCTGGAGTTTGTGACAGGAAAGGGAGAACCGATTCCAGATGCGAGCTAGGAAACCCCCTGGGGACGTAATCTAACTGACCATTGGCCAGGGTCTGTTAACTGGCCGAACACCATGACCCCCCTTTACCACAGTAATGAGTACGTCAGAAGCAGCAAGGAAGTGTTATATAAACTAAAAGTTTGTACCGGCCCTTTGAACAATACTACTTCGGCGCGCACCTGCTCGTTCACCCCACGTGGGGACAGGGGTCACTGTGGTTAAGCAGAGGCTGACAGACAACTGCTGATTTTAAAGCAGGGGTTTGGGTATGTGACAAAGGTAGGTAATACACACACACACACAGCTGGAGACCAGCGCTCAGGGGGGTTTCTTAAAAACAAACAAGACCGCAACAAACAGACTCTAATTCTACCAGCAAATGAGTTCCAGGGAACAGCTGTAAAGTGGGAGTAGAAGGTTAGGGGAAGAAAAACTCACCCCCGACTTCTCGGTTCGCTGCTTTCTGTAGGTTGTCCAAGTGCTGCGACAGCTCAGGAAGCTTGAGCCTGAGCAGGTCTCTGAACACGGCCATGTCCACCAATAACGCACGAAGGTTGTTGGCAAAGTAGCTGTCAGGAAGGACCTTGTCGATCAGGTAGATCATGACCTGTGGGAAAACGGAGCAACGCAGACTATGAAACACCCCGAGCACGTTCAGGATGGTCGGAGTACAGCAAAGCTTGCAGAGCCCCTTCTGGATCTCAGAATCTCTGGCCGATAGCTCAAACAAGAACCCTGTTACAGATTCGGTTCAGATTTCACACCCAAGGTTCATTAAATCAAGACATCGGACGATAGGCTCACCCCTTCATGCAGAACAGAAAAGTCAGCGCTGGCCGCAATGTTTATTTGCTGCAGCTTTATTTTCATCCACTTTAAAATGGGCGACGTTAAGGCACCTCAAAGCCTTCACATGGAAGAAGGCGGAAGATGAAAGCCCCCGGAAACCTTCAAGGAAACGCAAGCCCAAGTTCCCCAAATTAAGTTTGAACAAAAAATTAAATTAATAAAACAAAATAAAAGAAGTGAACGGAACCCAAAAAACCTTAACAAATCCAAAATAAACCCAAAAACCAGAAACTTGGGAAAAGAACGCAAAAGTGCCAAGTGCCGGAAATGGGAAAAGAAAACAGAACCCCTCCCGCCCAACAAGCAACGGAAAGAACAAAGGAACGGGAAGGAACAATGAAAAAAGAAAAGGTGGGCAACAAAAAATGCAACGCAAAAAAGGTCCAAAGGGAACCGCAAGCAAAAGTAAAAAACAAGAATTGGCCGCAAAAACAACCTGAAAGTGAAAAGGAAAATTCCAACGGAATAAAAAAACCGGAATCAAAAACCCGCCTGGCCAAAAAAGCAAAAGGCCACTTCACCTCACCGGAAGTCCCGTTGCCTCGTTCTGAATCACAGAACATGGCACTGGACAGACCTAGAAATGTAATATATTTTACGATGTAAACTGGAGGTTTTACGCGTTTCATTACAGTTTGAAATGTGGTCATCGATGCCGATTCTCTGAAATACAGAATTTGTTGAGGTTGAATTTGGATAACTTTTATGAGATGTGAATAATTCGCTTTTTTTCCCCCCAGATTTGTTTTATGTCTTAACACTTGATTGCTGCGCCTGGCAAAACTAAATGACACATGACTGATTTATTTATATATATGCACTTTTTATTCTTGTGCCCTTTCTCATTCCAGCTCAATTTACGAAGTATTTATTTTATTCCTGATCCATATCTGTGCCTCAAATTGTCATTGTGTCTTAAACTTTCTGGTTTCTGTGTGTGAGGATGTTTTTTTTTTTTTCCTTTGACAGAAGACAAAATTAAAGTCTTTTGGCAGACATCATTCTTGGTTCCTTGATATAACGTTTGTCCCGTAGCATTTCGGCTTTTGGTGTGGGGGGGGGGGGGGGGGCAGATCGGACCGACCTTGAGCGCATCGCCCTCGTTGCCCTCCACGACCTCCAGGATGAGCGCGGCGAGCACGTTGAAGCCCTGGCAGTAGCCCACCGCCTTGTTCCAGCGGGCGTAAGCGAGCAGCACCCGTTTCAGCACCACGCGGTCCTGCTCCGCCTCCTGGCCGCAGTAGGAGCTGCAGCCGGTCCTGTGCAGGTCCTGTGGGGATCGCAGACGAGACGGGCGCCCCTGAGCAGAATCGCTTCACCTCCACAGACGCGGCCCGTCTACCAGAACCAATATCTGCCCTTGCTGTCTTGCTGGCATCTCTTACCAATGATAATAAAGCAAGCAGCTCAACCCCAGCTCAACCCCAGCTCAACCCCAGCTCAACCCCAGCTCAACCCCAGCTCAACCCCAGCTCAACCCCAGCTCAACCCCAGCTCAACCCAACTGACTGGAATTTGCACCTATGCAGCCCAGATAAAAACAGCAAAACAACAAAACACATATTACACTTGCATACTTTATTACACAGTACTGACATCCCGTCAGTAAAATTATTTAAATTACTCAATCCACAACATCCAGGATCTACGTATTGAGGTGCCTAATGGCCTCTATATAGGTACTGTTTCAGACCGTAGACTGATTTTTGTTTCCTTTTCGCAAAAGACTGCAATCTCGGGGGGGAGGTACATTTGCTCATGTTCCCAAAGGGAAGATTTCAGTAGCAGAATTTTTTTCAGCGCCTGAACGAATCGTCTTCTGAAACTCACACCGCCCTTCTGTTCGGAGAACGATTTCCTTGCAAATATGCGCAAATCGATCAACAACATAGAGCCATGAAGGGCAGGCTCTGATGAAGCACCAAGACCCCGACAAGTCGGAGTATATTCTCGGTGCCGATTCAGAGACAGCAGCGAAGCCTTCATGACCTCCGCTTTGGGTTCAGACAATGGGAGGCACAGCTTTCTTTGAGATGCGAAACTCAGCATTAGCATGGGTGTCACCCAGTGACTCAGGGCTATTTCCATTTCACACTTGAAATGTTGTTGGCACAGTGTTGTTCACAAACATCCTACATCCACATAATTTCCAGGCTTCATAAAGGCTATAATTACCCCACACTCTGACAATGTACATTGCATTTAGCAGATATAGCCTTGTGAAAGGTTTTGAGCTCCTATCAGAGCCTATCACTGATCTTCTGTTAGAATGATCTATCATAATAACTGCTGATTTATTTGTAGGGCATGGATGATTAAAATCTCCGGTTTGGTGCCCTGCCTAATGTATTTGACTAGCAACAGAAAGGCAAATTTTAACACCGCTAAGAATGGTTTATTACACATTATATTACAGAATAACCTTTTTTTTTCAGCCTCAGGGAGCCAGTAGTTTGTAACCCAACTAAGGGCATGAATATCACATGTATTAATTTCCATACCTACTGTATATATCATTGAAGCACCTGGACATAGCCAAAGTAAAATGTTAAGGGTGATGTGTTTTATCTGCAGTGTAAATATTCCTCATTAAAATTTGTGTAATTTAATTCAACTATTAGTATTAACACTTGATAGTGATGGAGGAGAAATTTACTATGCTTGCTTTCTCGAGGAATGTGAACATTCTGCTACTACCATCAGACATTCACTAAGAATTTACTCTTTTTGGTTAGCTCGGATTTACACGATTGCCTATACAACCTTTTCTCTCCCTTTTCAACGTCATGAGATCAGACTGCACCCAAGATCTTCGACGCGCCCACCAATTGCTGCTGCTAACAGATCAAAGGGCGCAAGCTTTGAACTTCTCCCGTGAACTTAACACACCTGTCACCAAACTCCAGCTTTGTATGAAAAAACTACTTCTCAAAACAACTACAGAGCGCCAGACAGGCCTCGTCTCTACAGGATGGTTCCAGGACTCTTGTGATCTTGCCTGAAGCGTGATAGATAGAAGCCTAAACCTTTATAAAGCCGAAACAGCAATAATTGCTAGCACCTAACTTTTCAATGACCCGTAAAGACAGCTGATTATTACTCGAGCTCACAACAACTTCTTGCTGACGTGGCAGAAAGAGTGCAGAAGTGAACAGATGGACTTTTAGGCTGCTTCGGCTCAGTATGAAAAATGATCCTGGACAACTGTAAATGTCAGTGCTTATCGAAGGCGAGGTAAGATAACTGCCCATTGTAAAAACAAGAAACAGAAAGCCTGTCACTTTCTATTGAATACATGATGACATCACGACCAGTGTTTCCCAACTGTAATTTCCATTTTTTTATTCCACCTGTGTGTACTGACCTTTTAATTAGAGTACTTTAATTACCTTCCCTACGTCAATTGCTTCTAAGAACTGTTTCAGTTTGGTTACAGGTCTCATACGTTTTTTAAACAACTCAACAGCAATCAATGAGTGATGCACAGTATATGCACATGTGGGAACGATACCCTGCCAAACAATGCCTTTGGAAACACTTAGTTCCTTTGAATTTTCACCTTGAAAGAGTCATCCCCGATGGCAGGAATTCTGTAATCAGGTGAAAGTTAATACCCTTTTTAAAATGGATCTAACTGGGGAAAACAAAAAACTGAACTGAGTTTTCAAAGCATTGACTTCGCTCATCGGTCACCCTTTTTAACTCAACTGCAGTCACTGCACACTGAATCTCTGAGGTTAGAAACTACTGCACCGTTCCCCAGACAATATCGCTTAGCAAGGAAGCAAACTTGACTTCATCTGCACAAATACCGATGGAATGCTGTTGGGCATAGTTAAACACTTTCTGCATCCTCAAGTCTGCATCTCAAGCCATCTCCCAACTTTTCTCTTTTCCTGCCATTCCCCTTATTTTTGCATAAAAATTGCATTTTGTTTTTGTTCCCTTTATAAAACTTAATAAAAGCAATTAAAAGACTTCCACTTGCTAATTAATTTGCTCATTAATTTTACTGTACACAAAGTGGTGTGGGAGTATGGAACAAGCTGCCTACCTATGTTGTTAAAGCTCATATCCTGGCTTCGTTAAAGGATAGAAAGCTATTAGCTCAATTCGCTATTAGCCACCAAAGACGCTATATGGAGCAAATTCCTCCCCATTTGTATGGAACTGTTATTAAACCCTTAAAATTTTCCAGGCCTGTTTTACTTTTTAACGACGATCTAAATAAACAAGTATCACCATTCAGGTATCCTGCTGTCCTTAAGTTTGTAGGATTTAATGTTTATTACAACATGTAGTGTAGGATTAGAGAAACACCGGTAGCTGCAATACCTTCACTATCTGTATGCCCAGAGAATCATCATCCGGGTTACTGCGGTCGTTGAAGGCAAATCGCAAGGTCTTCTCCCAGTCTATAGAAATACTGTGCAGGTACTGATCAGCCAAAGTCAGCCAAACCTAAACAACAGAAGAACACAGCAATGAGTACCATCATGTCTTTCGTCTTCTGAACTCCAAAGGTTTACCGGAAGATCCAACTTCACAATGCGATGATGTAGTATGTTTAGCAATCCACAACCCTACATTCAGACGTAGCGTGGCGATTCCCAAAATTCTCCTTAGCAAGAAGCAAAAATGAGGCATTCAGGACGTCTTCAAACTCACGGCAACGCAAGAAGGTTCAGACCAGATTCATGCACAGTTTGATACGTGACAGACGACATGTAAAAACTTTAAAAGGGTGGAATCAGTAAGGAATTGGAAAGGGCTCTTAAAGAGAAGGTCAGGTTTCATAGTTTATAACCAAACACACCCCAAAAAGAGAAACGTGCAATTTCCGGAGCACCAATCAAGAACACTGGTTCTCTCTCAACTGTTTGGTTTGCACATTTAGTATATTCTTATCCAATTGTAAAACATATCTTATGACCAAGCTTATACTTCTAGACTCAAGGCACCAATTCCTAGCTTTAATATCGTCTCTATGCTGGAACTTGGACAAGCAAAAGGCTGAGGCTGATGTTCGATGGGTTAAGGGAAGCTGACATTTGTCTGAAGAACTCTGTGTGGTAAAAAAAAAAAATGGCCATTCAAAATGATCTAGCCCAGTAAAATCTAAGAAGAATGAGGTTCTTAATTTTCCCTTTTCCTGAGTAGATCCAAGGTTAAAAGCAGTATCACTAATATAATTAAATATAATGAAAGGGGGAATAAAGGAAAGATATAGACATACACTGTGGACAGATAAAAGAGAAGGAATCGCTTAAATTCAAAAGGTTTTCCTGATGAAGAACTATTGATAAAAGGCTCTCTTGGTCTAAAATACTGAACATATTACTGTATGGAGATTCTTCATTGTTCCCAGTGACTCTGCTTTTCGAATATCTTACTTATCGCCGTTGTTCCACTCAAGCAGAGCGAAGCTGACCTTACCCTTTTCCTCCACTCTTTGGGAATCCCAGTTGGCAGCCTGGCCACAGCCTTGAGAGCATCGTACCACTGCGAGAGAGAAGCCAAACCCAGTCAGTCCCATCAGCAAGAGCCCAGTTTCCGGACTTTAGATGTACAGGATGAAAGAGATTGTATTAGATGCACACAAAAAAGGGGATCTGTTAGAAGCCAGAGTTTCTCATTCGAAATACTTTGGATTTCAAGCGTGGATGGGTACTGTTGGAAACCGTGCTGAGGACACCCTCACACAGACGCAAGCATAGTCATTCATACATCCACCCATTTTCTAACCTCTTTATCCTGTACAGGGTGGCAGGGTCACCCATCCCAGCATGCAACGGGCACAAGGCAAGATACATCCTGGACAGGACGCCAGTCCATCGCAGGGCACACACAGATACACACACAAACTCACACTAGGGCCAATTTTCCCAGCTGCCAATAAGCCTTTGGAATGTGGGAGGAATCCCACGTGAAAAGGGAGAGAACATGCAAACTCCACACAGACAGCACCCCAGGTCTGGAACCGAACCCCGAACCCCAAACCCCAGCGCTGTGAGAAAGCAACGCCACACACAAGCAGAACTTCTTTATCATTCTTCACCCAGGACACTTCGATACACACTCGGGGACAGTTACTGTGTTGTGTTCGCTTTTGTGGGTCAACTAATTTCTTCTTCGTTTTTACAGTTCATTGACTCTATGAAAGTCACTTTAAACAAGGACGTCTGCTAAATGAAATATTAACAGAGGGGAAAAATATGAAGGATATACTGTACAAAGTGCTGTTGTGGTCCATTTAATTAAACAAACAGGAAATATAACTACCTACAGTACGGTACTTTTATTTTTATTGTACTTTAGTGAAAAAAACATTATGATATAGCATGGAAAATGTTCAACTGGAAGGTCTGAATAGTTTGTCTATGTATAAATTCTTTGTTAACACAACACCACAATGAATTAGGCAAGAATTCATAAGGCCCCAATGTGATCCTTAATCTTCCAATGTGAAGCTTGCAGTAATGGAATGAGAGAATTATTTCCTGGCAATTTTCTAGAATTGAAAACACTTCTACTGTTTCCATAACTGTACTAGGTTAATAGTGGTGTTGCTAATCAGGTGGTCAATATATTTGCATCCCCACCTGTTTTTGTGAATATGGTTACACGGTCTTATTTTAACACCTCAACAAGAGGTTTTTTTCAAGAAAATGAGACAACCAAGTCTTGGCAGTCAAGACGAATGAATGTCAATGGCGTATGACTGCGTTGAGGCGACAATGATTCTTGAAGTCAGGTAGCTACCGAGCAATTCAAGCACGCCTTTTTGGCAAACTGCCAAAAACTGCCTGAGACAGGCACAAGTCCCGTTTACTCTTGGGAAAATATTAAAAACCCCAAAGAAGACAAAAGCATACACATCTTTACCTGTTGAAATCCATTTTTGCCCAAAGACGGCTCAAGCGTAAACTTCAGCCTGGTGTCAACACCTGAATACAAAAAGAAAGCACAATAAATTTGGCTTAGAGCTTTGAACTGGCATCGGGCAAAACGCAGGAAAATGAATGCACGGCCAACAGCTTTCACATCAAAACCTTCCAACTGCACCTCCGCGCAAGTACCCCAAACACACGCACAAACACGCTCAAAACATTTAGAAAAATCCCATGCAGGCAATAAAATGAGTTTTAAAAATGATTACAGGGGGGTCACCAAACATGAAGAGGAAACTCACGAAAAAGGACATACTGTAGGCCTTCATGATAACTCAAAAACTGTCCTCTTTTAGTCAATGTAGCAAAGGTATGGGGGGGGAAAAATAATCCAGAAAACCGCAGGAAGAACTGGCGACAGATGGGGGCAAATCTGATTCAGGTATTCAAAATCCAGAGAGTAAGCCCAGTGGCCTACTGCAAACTCAGCACCAGAACCAGGACTGGAGGACCGAAGTCAATGTAGCCTGAAATAGTGGGCCACTTCACCCCGAGAGCTGCACTGATCCGATGTAGCCAGCCCGTCAAAGACCTTTCGGAACAAACCTGGGATCACTAGCTAAGGAGACCAAACCAGTACATGGCTGAACACACTCTCCTCCCTGTTAGCAGCCCGTTTTCTGCAATTCGACTGGTATATTTGTTTTTTCCCTGACAAAACTCGAGCGGCTTGCCTCTATATCCCAGCTAGCGACCACCGAATCTTACGTTCACCATTTCCCCAACACCATCTCTTCGTGCAAAGTTTTCACACACCACCGACAAAATGCCGATAATGTAATTTATTGACTACTGCGCACGATTTCGACAAACTGACCGGTATTTCACGCGGAATGGAAACAGTAATGTCCGACTACGGAGAACATTAAGGGACAAAACAAGAGGAGCAGCCATCGCTCAGGATACGTGAACTGTTCTCGGTACGCACTCAGAGAATGTTTTTTTTCCCAGTTTTAATCAAATAAGGACACGTATTAAACACTCACGGAAATGAAAGGCACAGAAATTGGTGTAGGGAGTTCGTCAAAACACAAATAATGGAAAAGCTTGACGACAGCAGGCCTCATTCAACCAGCGGTATCCACTACCTACTGCAGTTTCGCACAACGTCCGAGAAAGGTTTCTGTTATCGTCAACAGCGTTTTTATATATATTTAAATTCTCGTGTTCCGTTTAAGAAACGAAACAAATTAAGGGTCGCGTTTTGCTTTTTTGTTTCAGAAACAAAATGAAGCATTCTGCCCCGATCAATCACGGCCCCTTTTCATCTTCGGCCGTCGCTGTCCAACACGCTGGTGCTGAATTTCTTCTCTCGCTGAGGTTGCTACGTCCAAGAAGTACAGAAAATTAAAAAAAAAAAAATCATTCAGCAGCCCCCGATGAAATTATATCATTAACTTGGCACTTGTTGGAGGTTCACGAATAATAATATTGCATTCGGACTGCTGCAGGAGCAACCATCGCTGTGTTTTGTAACTGTGGATCCTGCAGCAATGTCTGTCCCACGCCTGAATCGATAACGCACCGTTTCGCCAACACCCCCAGACTTTTTTTATATATATATATAAACACACGACAAAGACTGAACAGCCTGGCTCCGTTTCAGTCATGGCTTCGGGTTAAAAAAAACACACGATTGCCACACCAAACGCAGCAACTTCGTCGCCCTTCGTCACTCAATCCGCCTCAAACCTGCTCGTATCCGTCGCTATCGTCCTGCGATGAACAAGGATCATCGTCCCCGAAACCCAGCCCTCCTTCTTCTCCGGACGACGCGATTTCACACACGGGGACGGAGCGCGCAATAAAAAAAAACATTCTTCCAAGTTTAAACCCAAAACGATTTATGCCGTGTCAATAAAAAAAAAACAAAATGTCACACCAAACGTAAAGCAAACAAAAACAGCTGCTCGAAACAAAGACCCAGTAATCGCACAGCATGAAGCCAAGACGCCCCTGGATATACGATACGAGCCCGGTTTGAAGGGCTCAGATTGTATCGCGGGCTTGACCATTAAAGATCGTTTTGCAAATGTCAGAATCGGCCCGATTGCTCACCTCACCGTTAAAAGACTCCGGATAAGAACACACACACACACAAAACACACATCACCTGGTTCTAAAGTGCAGAGCAGTCTTGGGGCACTTCTGGAAATGCAATTGCGCTTCTTGAGGACGTTGCTGATGATGTTGCTAACACCTCCATTATTCTGTTTTTTCACACAGCCTCTAGATCTTTTGGCACAGGTGAGCCTGTCTTGCTTCATCGGTGACCGACAGAGAGGTTGCGTTCTGACACAACAATGTCCCCCTTGCCTAGAAACGTCCCTCAGATCTTCTCCAACATTGTTCCAGAAAAAGACGGGGAGGAGGAGGAGGAGGGAAAAAATCAGTTGACTGGCCCACCCATCTTTGCTATCCGAGCCGTCTCTCTCTCTCCCTGATCTCGAAACCACACGAAGATAAAGGATAGCAAAAATTCTTCAACGCTGAAGGAAAATACGGAGATATAATCACGGACGTGTGTGTGTGTGTTGTTGTTGGTTTTATATTTTTCTCTCCCGAGTATCTGCACTGCAGCAACGGCGCGGTCCCACGGTGATCCACGCACACACCCACCCACACCACCAGCGTCATCGAAGGCGGGGGGAGGCCGTGTGAGGTCCGGATCTTTCCTGTCTAATTATGAAGACCTGCCGGCTCATGGACGGTAGCCGAGAGATGGAAAATGGATCTCAGGGCTGTAGGTGGCATTTTGTCGCCTTTGTCTGGGCGAAAGAACGCAGATAACGAGTACAGGCGCACGGAGCAAAAGCAAATTTGCTTTTCGAGTTGTTTTTTTTTACAGTTTTCCCCCTCAAGTCGATATTAAACGCCAATAAATATTTCAAAAACCACCTCTTTTTTTTACTAATCCCGTCAATCAGCCTACTAAGTAAACGGCGAACCCCGGTGTTACAACCTGTGATTGATTTTAAAAATAAGATTTGGTTGGGGTTTATTTTTGCCTAATAAGGTTTGTAACGTTACTTTATAGTTACGGAAAATGTGAATGAAGCTGGTGAACAACAACAACACATCGCCTTCATTTGGCAAATCCGCAATCTCCCGCGAACAGGCTTTTAAGGATTGAAAAAGAATGCACCGATTTATTCAAGAGAAACGCGTTTCAGACTCTAGTTTGTATAATATAAAATTTCAAGAGTAACTGAAAGTAAAGTGACCAGTTTTCACAGCAAAACTGATGTCAAGACAACTCTGAATGCAATCCTAGCACAACACACAGAAGGCTCCCTGCCTGAGCCCCATAAATTTAACCTGGATAGTCAAATTAAAATCCATCCATTTTCTAACCATTT